CAAAAACTTTTCCTCTGCACCAAGCCCCAGACAAGGAGGTGACTAATTGTTCTTGATGTCCATAAGTAAAGGGTGTTTTGGAGAAAGACAAAGATTCTGAGGATAGAAAATGTGTTCATCTCCACATGTTGAGCTGGATGAAGTAGCGGCCAAGAGTTTCTTGTGAGTTCTTGTAGGAAGTTAATGGAAATAATTCAGGGATCTTCTATTCTTGGGCTCTGTACTCTCAGCCAACCACAGTTCATGCAGTCCCCCAAGCTGGACTTTAGCAGTGACCTAGTCATAGAGATAACCAAGGCCAAGCCGCTGCCTAGCTAGAATGGGTTCTGCTTGTGGCTTGGGGTGCTCAGAGGTCCAGCACATGCTAGAAATTTGCCTGTACCGAGATCCTAAAGAGGATGACTTGCCCAAGACATTAAAATATTTCCTGATATTCCCATTGCTTTCCTGAAAGATGGTGAAATCCACTTCTACAAACCTACTCTTTTCTATTAACGTATTCTCTATGTAAGACATTTCTGATTTAGGCCTATACTAAAAATGCTTGGACATCAGTTTTTCCCCTGTACTTTGAGTTCTGATGATCTAATGTTAAAATGTGCTATTGTTCATATTATCACTGTCCAACCAAGTAATTAAATCTACCAAGGCAGTCAAGTTTTGTGCCTTGTATGAGAGGAAGTCTAGGAAGACTCTGTTTACTGAGCTAGTTCCCCTCTACCTATTTAAAAACTCCAAATAGTCTTGAAACGAGATTTAAAAACACCTGTGGACCGTTCTTCCATTGCTCTTAATTCACTGCACAATTATTTGCCTGTCGATCACTGCTTTTATGTTTTGTTAACATTAAAATGTAAATCACTCACTCATTATAATACTGTCTTTAAAAAATTTTTTTTTTCATTTATTTCCAGATGTTCACTAGGGACTTAGCGATGTCACCCACAAGAAAAAATTGGATTTTCGGCCGGGCGCGGTGGCTCAAGCCTGTAATCCCAGCACTTTGGGAGGCTGAGACGGGCGGATCACGAGGTCAGGAGATCGAGACCATCCTGGCTAACACAATGAAACCCCATCTCCACTAAAAATACAAAAAAAAAATTAGCCGGGTGTGGTGGCGGCGCCTGTAGTCCCAGCTACTCGGGAGGCTGAGGCAGGAGAATGGCGGGAACCCGGGAGGCGGAGCTTGCAGTGAGCCAAGATCGCGCCACTGCACTCCAGCCTGGGCAACAGAGCGAGACTCCGCCTCAAAAAAAAAAAAAAAAAGAAAAAATTGGATTTTCCATTTTCTTGGTGCTTCAAATTTTAAAAATAGTTTCACAATATTACCTCATTTTTTTACATGTCAGTAACACAGATGTAGACAAACAAGAATTCTTGTTCCTGTGTTACAGATGTGGAAACTGAGGCTTGCCCAGAACTGCTAAGCTGGGGAATAAGTGGTGCAATCAGGACTTGAGCCCCAGCTTCCACCTCCGAAGCCCATGTTCTTCCCATTACCCCACGATCCTGGCCGAGAATCAGGGCACATGTGCACAATGGCAACGGCAGCGTGGATGGATTAGGACAGACCTGTGCAGGCTCCCAGAAAAATAACTCAAAATACATTTCCTGGTGATGACGGGACTGTAGCACATCTTCAGATACAAAAGAGAAGACGTGGTGCAGAAAGGATGTTTTGATCACTGACCAAAACTGTCTTGGAGCTTGGAATGTGAATGTGTTAGAGAAAAGTGAAGCAGCAAAGGGCAACACGCTCTAGCATTTTAAGAGGAAAAAAATGCATGGCAGGGGAAGAAAGGAAAGGAAGGAGGATGTGGAATATCCCAGAAATACCTCCCCCAACCCATGACCCTCCACTGCCCACTTCCCTAGCCTTAGTCTAGTCAGAAGACTTCTTTAGGAACCATTTGGTAATTCCAAAAAACAACTTAGTTTTCTTTCTTGATGCCTTTGGGTATGTGCTTTTAAAAATTAATCCAAAATATCTTTTTCTGCAACATAATTCCTACATACCTACTTAGTTTCAGTTCAGGTCCACCTTTTGCAGGGAGCTGTTCCTAAACATTGCATAGGAACAGGAGCCTGCCCTTCCTCTTCACCCTCATGTTCGGTCTTTTCCTGTGGCATTGCTGTAGAGTGACAGCTTAGAGACTCAAGCCCATCTCATTTCTTTGGTGGAGGAAGCATGTCTAGGGGAGTGCACTGGATTGAAGGTGGCTGTCCTGGCCAGGCCCTGATCATGGCATTCGATATCCCTGGACCTCAAGTCTCAGCAAGGCTTCTCTGACAGCCAACAGGCATCCAGCAGGATGCTCAGCCACCTCTGGATTTTGCTTTATAAAATAAGTACCTTGGCCAAGCACGGCAGCCCACACCTGTAATCCCAGCACTTAGGGAGGCCAAGGTGGTAGGATCGCTTGAGCCTAGAAGTTGAGACCGGCTTGGGCAACATAGTGAGACCCTGTCTCTACAAAAAATACAAAACTTAGCCAGGTTTGGTGGCTCGTGCCTATAGTTCCAGCTACTCAGGAGGCTGAGGTGAAAGGATCACTTGAGCCCAGAAGTTTGAGGCTGCAGTGAACCACGATACCACGATGGTGCCACTGCATTCCAGCATGGATGGCAGAGCGAGACCCTTTTGTTGTTTTGTTTTGTTTTGTTTTGTTTTTGAGATGGAGTCTCGCTCCGTCACCCAGACTGGAGTGCAGTGGCGCGATCTCGGCTCACTGCAACCTCTGTCTCCTGGGTTCAAGCGATTCTTCTGCCTCGGCCTCCCGAGTAGCTAGGACTATAAGTACGTGCCACCACACCCAGCTAATTTTGTGTTTTTAGTAGAGATGGGGTTTCACCATGTTGGCCAGGATGGTCTCCATCTCTTGACCTCGTGATCCACCCACCTCGGCCTGAGGTGGGAGCCACCGTGCCCAGCCGACCCTTTCTTTAAAAAATAATAAATAAAATTTTATTAAAAATAAGTACCAGGATTAATTCATTTTTAATATCTCCTCTAGATCACAACTGTGGATTGAATATAAAATATGGAACAAGTCTCTCTTTCAGATGTACAACAAATGTATATAAAAAATCATGGGAGAAGATGACCTCAGTTCTTGAAACTTATAAACATTTCAGCAATTTTGCTCTTGCAAAGAAATCCTTAATTCTGCGTTTTCAAACTTTAAGTAGAACTGACAGCCATTTGTGCTCTCTCTGTTTGAAGTAGTTCTTTTCTTTCGAGTCAAGAATCTTTTTCCAGGTTCGGCTGTTTCCTTAATGAAATTAATATTTCACACAGAATGGTTTCATGCAAAAGTGCTGGGACGTCTGGAGTCTGGATGTTGTTCCTGGAATGCTTCCACATAAGGAGAATTTTAGACAGGGAAGCCAGAATCCTACCCTATCCAGTGGTTCACGGTCTTTTCTGGCCTTACACTTGGTTTGGGCAATCCTCAGAATGTGTGTGTGCACGTGTGCACATGCATACACACACACCTTTGATTCTTCAGCCTCCTTCCTCCAGTCATTTAAGTAGGAGCTGATAAAAGAAAGCCTTCAGAGTTCACAGTATTGCCTTAGTGGTGTTTTTTTTTGTTGTTGTTGTTGTTGTTTTGTTTTGTTTTTTGAATGTTATAAGAATAAACACAATAGAGGAAAATTCCAGGCAAATGTGGCCATTGCCTTGTGTGACTGCCAGGACACTCATGTCCATCTGGTCCTGGGGCCTGTAGCCTTGCCTGCACCTCACAGTCCTAACAGAGCTGTTGACATCCGTGGAGCCCCAGAATTTCGCCAACTGCTACATGTATCTTTGGAGAGTGTATTTTCTGGAACATACTCAGAACATGAAGTTGTCGTTTCTACAGTTTTCCTCCCTAGGCCTTCTCAGTAACTCTGTTCTTGAATGTAGGCAAGAGCCTGGGATCGTGAAAAGCATTGAAACCTCAGTAACCCCAGGACAAATGGAGAACCAAAATCCCATGCACTGGTGGGTCCTAGGGAGAGGAGTAAAGGGGAGTCTAGGAGTCAGGGGGCCATGGGGCTGACCAGTGTGGAACGGCGATACGGCCTCACGACGTGGAAACCACAGATGACTCTAGCTGCGATGCAGAGATGCTAAGGATAGGAATTTCAAAGGAGCTGAGATCATTGCAGGAGAGAAATGTGAAAACTCCACTCTGGAGCTTCATTTCTGACTTCAAATCACGTGCTGCCACACAGCAGCTGTCATGTAACCTCTCTGTGCTTTTGTTTCCTCACTGGTAAAATGGAGATGGTAGAACCTCTTCATAGGGTGGTGTGAGTGTTTTAGTGCATTGGTGTGTATTAAGTGCTTAGAACAATGTAGCATACTCCCACCTCCCCCATGAAAGCTGTGCTCGCTAATCCAGAAGCACACTACTGTTCTTATTATCTTAATACCACTGCTGTTCTTGTTATCGTTATTGTTATGACTCTCAAAATTGCTATAATGCTATCCATAGGGACTGTAGAGTTATAATAGTGGCTACTAAATTTAAGCAGCATCCTTGCCTGGTGCTGTATCATTTTTGGACACCAGAGATACATTTTTTCCTGTCTATAGAGAGTGAAAAGGCACCACTCTGTCAGAATGACTACTTTCTACTTTTAAAATGTTTTTGATGATAACTCTTGATGGGTTTAGATAAAGCCATCCTTCCAAAAGGCCTGAAGCACTCTCAGATGGCTCCGTTTTTTCAGCCCTTTACTGCTCTGGGATGTGGTGTACCCACTGTTGAGCTAATATTTTTGATCTTCAATTTGGAACCCGAATTATGTTCTACAGCAGTCACTGTAGGTGGATGTATAAAATTCCCATCAAAAGGTATTCAGACACTTTCCAGGCTCCGTGGTATGCAGGAGATGGAGGCACATGTGGAAGGGTGCACCTGCAGATTCCCGTCGCTCTGAGCTGCGAGGGGGCGGGGCAGGTGCGAGCCAACAGTGATGGGGCCTCACGCTGCTTGTCCACTCCTTAGATGACTATGCTCAGCTGTGTAACATCCCCGTGACGGGACGCCGGCAGCCATATGGACGGGACGCCTTGGTTGACTTCAGTGAACAGTATGCTCCAGAAGCCGATCCCTACTTCATCCAAGACCGTAAGCAAAATAACCTTGTTCCTTTGATGCTAAGTTGTGGTTGAAGATTAATCAGTGGTCCTCAAAATATAATGGCAACTTATTAGCAATGCAGCATTTCTGTTCCCACCTCAGACCCGCTGGTCAGAAAGTCTAGGGTGGGACCCAGCCATCTTTGTTTCACAAGGGCAGTCCTTCTGCACGGGTGAGTGCAGAACCACTGCATCATTCATGAGCTGAGATCACACCACTGCACTCCAGCCTGGGCAACAGAGCGAGACCCTATCTCAAAACAAAACAAACAAAAAGAACCATTGCATCTGATGAGTAGTCTTGCTGGTGGAGGTACTGTTATATTTATTTTTCTTAAGGTTTTGAGACAGAGTCTCACTCTGTCACCCAGGCTGGAGTGCAGTGGCACGATCTCAGCTCACTGCAACTTCCACCTCCCGGGTTCAAGCGATTCTCCTGCCTCAGCCTCCCAAGTAGCTGGGATTACAGGTGTGCATCACCACGCCCAGCTCATTTTTGTATTGTGAGTAGAGACTGGGTTTCACCATGTTGGTCAGGCTGGTCTTGAACTCCTGACCTTGTGATCCACCCGTTTCAGCCTCCCAAAGTGCTGGGATTATAGGCATGAGTCACCGTGCCCAGACTATCATTATATTTTCTATGACAAAATCATTTCTTTGCTCTTTAAGTGGTGGACTAGTTTGAGGGCCAAGGTTTCCACAAGAGCCCAGTTATATTGCAGCCTTTTTTTCCTACAGGGAAATGGCAAATGTTAACTGTACAAGTTGATCATTATTATACATGTTTTAGAGTAGGAGGTAAGAAAAGAATTGCCCTTTTGGTCAGAAATGACTTTTTAAAATACATTGGTGAGGGGATTTATAGAGTAAGAAATAATGTGTGCCAACTTTTCCTGGATTAGTGAACACAGCTTTCATGGGGGAGGTGGAAGTGTGTATCTGCAAATTGTGATCCCCTTTAGAACGTCAGTGCTGTGTGAGGAAGCCTACAAACACACAAGCTCAAATCGGACTTTTCAAATGCAGACAATTTGAAGTCTGAAACGGCAGGAGGTCCACAATGAAATATTAGTATATAGTAGATAGTCTCACTTCAAGAACAAGAACAGGGAAACGCCCATTTCAGGAGCCTCATCCACAGCTCACAGAGGGACCATCCTCACATGTGTAGCTTCACCACAATTTTTTTTTTTTTTTGAGCTAGGGTCTCACTCTGTTGCCCAGGCTGGAGTGCAGTGCCATGATCACAGCTCACTGCAGCTCTGCCTCCTGGGCTCAAGCGATCCTCCCACCTCCGTCTCCTGAGTAGCTGGGACTACAGGCATGTGCCACTATGCATGGCTAATTTTTGTATTTTTTCCGTAGGAATGGGGTTTTCACCATGTTGTCCAGGCTGGTCTCGAACTCCTGGACTCAAGCGATTCACCCGCCTCAGCCTCCCAAAGTGCTTACAGGCGTGAGCCACCATGCCTGGCCTGCACCACGTTTTAAAGATAGGTAATTGCTGCCGACCAAAGAGTTTGACTTAGGACTTTAGAGAAAAGTGCAATGGAGCTTTTCTCTGTCCTGGGCCCTGTCACCTGTGCATGAAGCATCCCAGCCAGGACCCAGTTCTGGGGCAGCAGCGTGAGATTTCTAGTTGAATTTAAGAGCTATTTCAGTTCTGCATCAAGAGCTTTTATTTTTTTTCCTTCCCTTCTCTTTCTCTTTTCCCTTTCTCTCCCTTCTTCATTCCCTGCTTGTCCTCCCTTCCCTTTTTTTTTTATTTTTTTTTTGAAGGATGTAGTGTATTGATCATCTAGTAGAATTAAGAATGTTTTAAAATGTCCATGATAAGAACATTCTGTTAATCCAGCTAGGCTGATTAACACACACCTGTGTAGCTGCCACCCAGGTCAGGAGCAGTGCCAGCCTCCAGAAGGCCCCTGGCACCCTTTTCCACCCCCCTCCCTAGGGTAACCACTGTCCTGACTCCTAACACCATAGACAAACAACACTCTTTCTTTTCATCCACAACACATAACCACGCAGCACTTTATGAAATGGACCAGAATGCACTCACAGCTACAAGGCTGTGCACTTAGGGTTTGATGCTTCTCTGTATATGTTATGGGTCGGTAAACGTTTACTTAAGGAAAAAGGAAGGGAGAATTACTAAGGTTGAAAGAAAGCCCAGCTTGCCCCATAAATCAGGAATACCAGGTTAAGTCTATATGCAACTCTGACAAATCTGTAGCTTACAGCTTTCCTCCCTAGACCTCCTCAATAACTCTGTTCTTAAATGTAAGCAAGAGCCTGGGATCATGGAAAGCATTGAAACCTCAGTAAGCTCAGGACAAATGGAGAACCAAAATCCCATGCACTGATGGGTCCTGGGGGGAGGACTCAGTCTATAAGTCAGAAGCCGCTATGGCATTATAGTTTGGATTCCAGGAATTTTCATGTTGAAATGTCTGGCTTATGTACCTTCTTTCTAATGCTGGCACTGCTTTAAAGCTCTTTTTTTAATTTACTACAAATGTTAAGAAATAAACATGTTGATGTCACATCAATTTCCTATTTAGCAACATAGGAAATTGAGATGCAGTTCCAAGACCTCCAGCTTGGACGATGTAATGGCCTTTACATTTCTTACAAGTTGCAGAGAAATATTTCCCCCTTCCCAGCCAGTTTTCTGACCTCCAGCAAGGGCTTTTGGGCCCTGCTGCAAAAATGATCGTGTTGGGTAGATAGTAACATAGATGGAGGCTGAGTGAGGTTTCTCATCACCTTTATGGTTCACCGTCTCTGTTACCTTTCGGGAGAGCAGTACTTCTAAAACTGGAATTTACTAGAGCAGAGAATAGGCAAACATTTTTTCTATAAAGGGCCAGGCAGTAATTTTTTTTTCTTTTTTGAGACCAAGTCTTCCTCTGTTGCATAGGCTGGAGAGCAATGGCACAATCTTGGCTCACTGCAACTTCCACCTCCTGGGTTCAACTGATTGTCCTACCTCAGCCTCTTGAGTAACCCTGGGATTTTAGGCATGCACCACCACGCCCGACTAATTTTTGTATTTTCAGTAGAGATGGAGTTTCACCATGTTGGCCAGGGTGGTCTTGAACTCCTAACCTTGTGATCCACCTGCCTCAGCCTCCCAAAGTGCTGAGATTACAGGTGTGAGCCACCACACCCGGCCCAGATGGTAAAATTTGTAGGCTTTGCAGGCCATGTGGGTTCTGCTGTAGGTATTCAACTCTGCTGTCGTTTCACAAAAGCAGCCCTTAGATAGCACAGCAGCAAATGGGCGTGACTATGTTTATTTACAAAAATAGGTAGCAGGTCAGATTTGGACCAGAGACTGTAGTGTCCTGACCTGTTTTAGAGTCCTGAAGAAGTATTTTGGGGAGCCTGCCTGATGTGTGGGAAGTTTCAAGTTTTACTTTTTATAATTTCTGTAATAATAAAAAATGTATTAGCTGTGAAGTAAAAATGATTTTGCTGTGATACATGGGATCTGAAGACATTGTCATAGATTAAATCTTTTTTTGTCAGTGTTTCTTAACTGGCTTTGAGTATGTGGTGTCACTTTTTTTTTTTTTTTTTTTTTTTTTGAGAATAGGAGTCTCACTATATTGCCCAGGCTGGTCTTCACTTCATGGGCTCAGGAGATTCTCCTGCCTCAGCCTCCTGAGTAGCTGGGACTCTTTTTCTCCTTTAAAGTTTTAAAATGGGCCTGCCATGGATGTATTACTTGATTTTTTTAATGGCACAAATTTTTTTAACTTTTAGGTTCAGGGGTACATGTAAAGGTTTGTTACATAGGTAACATGTCATGGGGGTTTGTTGTACAGATTATTACATCACCCAGGTATGAAGCCCAGTACCCAATAGTTACCTTTTCTGCTCCTCTCCCTCCTCCAACCCTCCACTAGTATCTATTGTTTCCTTCTTTTTTTTTTTTTTCTTTTTTTTTTTTGTGGTATTTGGTTACATGAGTAAGTTCTTTTTTTATTATTATTATATTATACTTTAAGTTTTAGGGTACATGTGCACAACGTACAGGTTTGTTACATATGTATACCTGTGCCATGTTGGTGTGCTGTACCCATTAACTCATCATTTACATTAGGCATTTCTCCTAATGCTATCCCTCCCCACTCCCCCCACCCCACGACAGGCCCCGGTGTGTGATGTTCTCTGCCACGTGTCCAAGTGATCTCATTGTTCAATTCCCACCTATGAGTGAGAACATGCGGTGTTTGGTTTTCTGTCCTTGCAATAGTTTGCTCAGAATGATGGTTTCCAGCTTCATCCATGTCCCTACAAAGGACATGAACTCATCCTTTTTTATGGCTGCATAGTATTCCATGGTATATATGTGCCACATTTTCTTAATCCAGTCTATCATTGATGGATATTTAGGTTGGTTCCAAGTATTTGCTATTGTGACTAGTGCCGCAGTAAACACATGTGTGCATGTGTCTTTATAGCAGCATGATTTGTACTTTGGGTACATACCCAGTAATAGGATGGCTGGGTCAAATGGTATTTCTAGTTCTAGATCCTTGAGGAATTGCCACACTGTGTTCCACAATGGTTGAACTAGTTTACAGTCCCACCAACAGTGTAAAATTGTTCCTATTTCTCCACATCCTCTCCAGCACCTGTTGTTTCCTGACTTTTTAATGATTGCCATTCAAACTGGTGTGAGATGGTATCTCATTGTGGTTTTGATTTGCATTTCTCTGATGGCCAGTGATGATAGCATTTTTTCATGTGTCTGTTGGCTGCATAAATGTCTTCTTTTGAGAAGTGTCTGCTCATATCCTTTGCCCACTTTTTGAGGGGGTTGTTTGATTTTTTCTTGTAAATTTGTCTAAGTTATTTGTAGATTCTGGATATTAGCCCTTTTGTCAGATTGTAAAATTGTAAATTTGGTAGATTGTAAAAATGTTCTCCCATTCTGTAGGTTGCCTGTTCACTCTGATGGTAGTTTCTTTTGCTGTGCAGAAGCTTTTTAGTTTAATTCGATCCCGTTTGTCAATTTTGGCTTTTGTTGCCATTGCTTTTGGTGTTTTAGTCATGAGGTCCTTGCCCATGCCTGTGTCCTGAATGGTATTGCCTAGTTTTTCTTCTAGAGTTTTTATGGTTCTAGGTCTAACATTTAAGTCTTTAATCCATCTTGAATTAATTTTCATACAAGGTGTAAGGAAGGGATCCAGTTCCAGCTTTCTACATATGGCTAGCCATTTTTCCCAGCATCATTTATTCAGCATCATTTATTAAAGAGGGAATCCTTTCCCCATTTCTTGTTTTTGTCAGATTTGTCAAAGATCAGATGGTTGTAGATGTGTGGCATTATTTCTGAGTTCTGTTCCATTAGTCTGTATCTCTGTTTTGGTACCAGTACCATGCTGTTTTGGTTACTGTAGCCTTGTAGTATAGTTTGAAGTCAGGTAGCATGATGCCTCCAGCTTTGTTCTTTTTGCTTAGGATTGTCTTGGCAATGGGGGCTCTTTTTTGGTTCCATATGAACTTTAAAGTAGTTTTTTCCAATTCTGTGAGGAAAGTCATTGTTGTTTCCCTCTTTGTATTTATAAGTTCTTATCATTTAGCTGCCACTTACAAGTGAGAGCATGTGGTATTTGATTTTCTGTTCCTGCTTTAATTTGCTAAGGATAATAACCTCCAACTCCATCCATGTTCCTACAGAACACATTATCTCATTCTTTTTTATGGCTGCATAGTATTCCAGGGGTATATGTACCATATTTTCTTTTTTATCCCCCAAACTTATACCAAATCTCATTTAGTCTTTACAAGGTAGAAAAGTGTTCGTTCATTACAAAATACTTCCTACTGAGTGCATTGTGTTCAACATTGGGTCTGCCATTCTACATAGCATTGTTTCTCTATTTTTAAATGAGGAACCTGGTTTCAGCAAAATCAAGTGACTTGGCCAGGGTCACAGGCATGAGCAGAAGACCCACTTCCTCTGATTCAAATCCCATGGTTCATTTCCACAAAATAAGCCTATAATTGAGTGGGGCTTTAGAGATCATAAAATTCAGTGCTTTTATTTCATAAGTGAGGAAAATAAGCTTTCTGCCCAAGTTTATAATGTACACATAGTGAAATGGGAATGGGAACTCACGTCCCCCAGTACCAGTGTATTGTTCTTACCCAAAGAGATAATTTAACATTCACTTATTGTATATTTTTAGATCATGTCTAAAACCCACTTTCTTCTCTGAAGGGCATGTTCTAAAGTTTCTTCTTCACCTCTCTCCTCTCAGGGCACCTAATCTTAGAATGTAAGAGAAACTCTGACCAAATTTGTCTCCGTGTTGACCCCAGGCACTTTAGTCATTGTTGAAACTTCTTTTTTGTTGTTGTTAAGAGAAGTAAGTCTTTATTTTCGTGTTTAGGAAAAAAAGAAAAAAAAAAAAAACTGGCTAAGTTGATTGCTCTTTGGTGACCAATGAGACCAAACTCCCTATCCTTGTCCAGTTCCTCCGAGTTAGACCTTATTGCCCTCCATAAGCAATGATATTTTGCTGCCCCCTGCGGTTCCACTGGAGAATTACTTCAAAGGCCAGATAGAAATTTCTAGCCATATTTTATTTTTTTGAAGCTACTTCGTAGCTATTGGGAAGAGAGAGGAGATGAGAGGCCACATGACAGTGTGTTGGGTCACTGTGGATTTATGTTTAGAACTTTCCTCTGCAAAATGAGAACTAAACACTCTTGATGCCTAGCTAAATTGTTTTTATATCACAAAAACTCTAAAATCTAGCTCTGACTTGGTTTCAAGAGATCTAAACTATAAAAAGAGCCAAACAAGAGTTTCTTTGTTTCCTTAAAAAAAGACTTTTTGTTTTTTGTTTTTGTTTTTGTTTGTTTTTTTGACAGAGTCTCGCTCTGTTGCTCAGGCTGGACAGTGGCTGTGATCTCAGCACACTGCAACCTCCACCTCTCAGGCTCAAGCGATTCTTCTGCCTCAGCCTCCCGAGTAGCTGGGATTACAGGCGTCCACCACCACGCCCAGCTAATTTTTTGTATTTTTAGTAGAGACAGGGTTTTACCATGTTGGCCACGCTGGTCTTGAACTCCTGGCCTCAGGTGATCCGTCCGCTTTAGCCTCCCAAAGGGCTGGGATTATAGGCACAAGCCCAGACTTTTGGTTTTCTAAACACAAGTATGATGTTCTTTCTCATTTATCAGGATGTTTTGAGGCCGTTTTACTGAGTTTGTCCTTTGATCCCCTGGGAGCCCTTTTGTAAGGCTCATTCCGTAGCCAGAGCAAACAAACACATGGCAAGGCCAGCCTGCTTCTCCCTGGTCTTACAAACTCCAGCTGAAAATGTATTGCTTCACACTCTTACGGACTTTCCTAGCAAATGCTTACTAGACTCCAATAGTGAATTCTGTCGGTTCTGTCCTGAGAATCTGACATTTGCCCTACTGGGAACTCAGGAAGTTTGGAACTTTGGATGAACACTTTTAATAATTAAGATCAAAAACAAAAACCGTACTTGCTTTCTCATTTTATGTGATTTTAACATAGAACATCAGAATTCAAAATATGAGGCTACTCTGCACAAAATATATAAATTCTTTTATTTTTATGCTATTTTACACAGCTACGTTCAGCATTTCTATTGCTAACTTTAAGATGTCTGAAATATATATGGACATATGTATGTCTATTTAGGAAATGAACCATCATCTAAATATCGTTTAAAAAATGGTGTAGGACGTTGAAAAGGTCTAACTTAGCTTCTGCCCTTTCCTTTTCAGGTTTTCTAAATAGCTTTGAGGAGTTACAGGCTGAGGAATGCGGCATCCTCAATGGATGTGAAAATGGTCGCTGTGTGAGGGTCCAGGAAGGTTACACCTGTGATTGCTTTGATGGGTATCACTTGGATACAGCCAAGATGACCTGTGTCGGTAAGAATGACATGTGTTTTATGGGACATTAATTTTTTCCTGACACCCCCATGTCCATACCTCAGTCAGTAAAGAACATTTAAGATAGATTTGCTGAGTTTCAGTTTGGGAAGACGAGAAAAGTTCTGGGGATGTACATTAAGTACAGTATGAATATACTTAATGCCACTGTATACTTAAAAATGGTTAAAATGGTAAATATGCTCTGTATATTTTACCACAATTCTTTTTTTTTTTTTGAGATGGAGTTTTCAGGCTGGAGTGCAATGGGGTGATCTTGACTCACTGCAACTTCTACCTCCCAGGTTCAAGCAATTCTCCTGCCTCAGCATCCTGAGTAGCTGGATTACAGGCTTGCGCCACCACACGTGACTAATTTTGTATTTTTAGTAGAGACGGGGTTTCACCATGTTGGTCAGGATGGTCTTGAACTGACCTCAGGTGATCCGCCCGCCTTGGCCTCCCAAAGTGCTGGGATCACAGGTGTGAGCCACCTTACCCAGCCTACCACAATTCTTTTTAAAAAGAAAGAGTTGGTGTTTCATTTAGGACAATGAGGATTGAAAAAAAAAAAAAAAGAATCCAAATAGTGGTAAATATTGGAGGAAAGGCCAGAATATCCCAGATAATCACTTTGACTCTTAAATTTAGCTTTTGATTTCAGCAAGTAATGATTTCCTTGAATACTTGACACTAGCATAAGGGAGTGTAGACATCTGCAAAAAGTACAACTTCCTAGTAACCATTTGAATGAAACTCCTCCCAAAGCTGTCATGTTGCCCCACCTCTTACATTGAAAAGAACAGGAAACATACGTTTAACCTTCTCTGTGTGACCTAGTGTTGTCTTTCAGAGCCTGTTTGCCACAAGTTTTTCTTTTATTTTTCTTCCCCCTCTTTTTTTTTTTCTTTGAGACCGAGTCTCTCTCTGTCACCCAAGCTTGACTGCATTGACTGCAGTGGCCGGATCTCAGCTCACTGCAAGCTCTGCCTCCTGGGTTTACGCCATTCTCCTGCCTCATCCTCCAGAGTAGCTGGGACTACAGGCGCCCGCCACCTCGCCCGGCTAGTTTTCTGCATTTTTTAGTAGAGACGGGGTTTCACCGTGTTAGCCAGGATGGTCTGGATCTCCTGACCTCGTGATCCGCCCACCTTGGCCTCCCAAAATGCTGGGATTACAGGCGTGAGCCACCGCGCCCGGCCTCATCTCCCTGTTGAAGCAGTCCTTTTGCCCCCTTTGCTTTTGTGAGTTTTAATCCACGGTGTGTCTTTAAAATAGGTAACCTACGTTCTTAACAGATGTTTCAAGTGAGTGAGAGCCTAAATGGATCTCATGTAGAAAGAGGTCTGCGAATGTTACGGAAGGCTTTAGAGGGGCTGTATGGAGAGGTCTTTGCTTAGGTATCTGGTTCCTCTTGACAAATCTAGCAGTTCCTCCACACCTGTAGGAAGGAATTTGGAAGGAATATAATTCCTCTAACTTTCTTGAGGTTCTACTAGAAAATGTCAAGCTCACAAAATGCTCATGCTGTGCTAGATAACAGGGAAAGAAGTTCTAGGACCTCCCTGATAATCTACCTCTTTAAGATCTAAAAAGTCCCCTTTATCTTGTCTGTGGTTGAAGCAAGGTGGAGATAGCTTGCTTACTTGGGGTGGTCGGGGGAAGGGCAGCGTTTAGGCTGCCTCGATGCCTCAGGTAAGCCTCAAGTAGGTTATGTGTCCTCACAGAGCAATATCAAAGATTGTTTACCTGCATCGTTTGACTTATTGCAGATGTAAATGAATGCGATGAGTTGAACAATCGGATGTCTCTCTGCAAGAATGCCAAGTGCATTAACACCGAAGGTTCCTACAAGTGTTTGTGTCTGCCAGGCTATGTACCTTCTGACAAGCCGAACTACTGCACTCCGTTGAATACCGCCTTGAATTTAGAGAAAGACAGTGACCTGGAGTGAAACGGAATCTACATAACCTAAGCCCATATACTCTGCACTGTGTAAAGGAAAAGGGAGAAATGTATTATACTTGAGACATTGCACCTAACCCGGAAGGCTGGAAATACAGAAACAGCATGGAGTTGCAAGTCCTCTGAAGACAATGAGAGGACTTAGGATGAGCCCAACAGGTGTGGCAGACCAAATGGACATTTCTCTGAAAAACCAGTATATATAGTCTGTTCATATGTAAAATTCAGTGGAAGAGAGGTGGAACAGTGCTGTTATTTTAAACAGAAGGTTGTATTATTATGTTGTTTTGTTTTTTTACTATTGCTTGATTAAATTTGGCATTTAAATAGTGGTGGAAATATTTTATATAATTTTCATTTTTTGGTTGTGCAGTTCCTTGGCTACTGTTTTTCTTTTCCTTCAGTTTTTTTAAACTCTCAAATGAAAAAGTCTTCGATAAAATATTGTTAAGCTCTATTATAAATATTGTTACACAGGGTTATGCAATTCCTGGCCTGGAGCATTTTTGAAATTCAAATTGTTTGTCCTGTGGAGCAGGCAGTGATTTTGTTTCAAAACTTTTATACACATTTGGAGAAAAGTACTTTATATTTTCAGTGTTTTGTTTGATGTTAATGTCCATTCTTAGCCAAGCTGCTAGCAGGTGTCAATTGGATCCCTTTCCTTCACTGAAATGGAAGAGTTTATAAGCTTACGTTAGTATTGTAATATGTAAAGTAAGCCCAACAAAAATTTTTTAAAATTTGATGATCCCCAATATATCTACCATTGTATGTTAAAGTGAAATAAATCACCATTTTTGTAGAAAAAAATTCTACCTGAGAGTAATTGTCAATGAGTACACGTGTATAAGTTGTATCCCACTCTCCCCACTTTTATTTTTACCAGTGGTCTTCTGTTAACGTAGAGTCTTTTACAAGTTAAACATTAAATGTGTTAGATCTTGTTAGGGGCTAAGTAGTTTCCCCTAACATTCATATGTTGGAATTTTAACCTCTAATACTTCAGAAAGTGACTAGATTTGGAGATCGGATCTCTAATGAGGTAATTAAGGATAATGAGGTCATTGGTGTGGCCCTAATCCAATAGGACTGCTGTCCTTGTGTCACCCATAGAAGGGATCTGAGTTACCAGTGGCGAATCTGTACAGGTCTGCAGCAACCTCAATTCTTGCCTTCTCAGAAGAAAGAATTTGACTGAGGGGCATAAGGCAGAAAAAGAGATCAGGCAAGTTTCAGAGCAGAAATGGAAGTTTATTTAAAAAGGTTTTAGACCAGGAAAGAAAGGAAAGTTCACTTGGAAAAGTGGGCACCTGAAGGCCAAGTGCAGTGTTTAGCCTTGAACCTAGCTAGGATTTCACAGGCTGGCCCCTTTCCCATGATTCTTCCCTCAGGGTGGGCTGCCTGCGCACACACAGCGCCCTCCTTACACTTGGGAAGTGAGCACACACAGTGTTGAGGAAGCTACACACGCCCGTCTGGGGCTTTCTTCCCTTTTCTGGTGGTGTGCCCCTGGAAGGTCATACTCCGCCATCTTGTCCTTAATGTTCATACCCAGGAAGTTGCATCTCTTTGGCACCTGCATTCAATTAACACTTCAGTGCAGCAGGTGTGGGCCATCAGGAAGTGGCCCCTCCCTGGCCTCGGCTGCCAGTTGCTCACTTTTAGAGAGGCAGTGTGGTCACTGCCGAACCATCACCTGACGTTCCTAGTGGATGGGGGAAGAACCTCATGCCTGTCTGACTACCTGGAACACGTAGAAGAAGAGATTAGGACACAGATACACAGGAAAGACCCTGTGAAGACACAGGGAGACAGTGACCATCTGCAAGCCAAGGAGACAGGCCTCAGAAGAAATCAACCCTGCCCAAACTCTGAACTCCAACCAACGGCTAGCCTCCAGATTTGAGAGAAAATAAATTTGTTGTTTAAGCCGCCCAGTTTTTGGTACTTTGTTACGGCAGCCCTAGCAAACTAAAATACATATCACAGGAAAAATGAATAATAGCTTTCCCAGTTCCAGTCCTGCTTACACAACCACGGTAATGCCATTGTTTCATAACTTTAGCTGAAATTCACTTTTCCTTGAAAAAGCATCTGAGTTTTTAAAAACAAACTATGGCTAGGCATATCCAGCAGAAATGTCTGCCCACGTAACTTTTTTTCTGAAAAGTTTTGCATTTTAATAACTACAGTAGGCCGGGCGCAGTGGCTCACGCCTGTAAATCTCAGCACTTTGGGAGGCCGAGGCAGGTGGATCACCTGAGGTCAGGAATTTGAGACCAGCCTGGCCAATGTGGTGAAACCCCATCTCTACTTAAAAAAAAAAAAGAGAGAAAATTAATTAGCCGGGCATGGTGGCAGGAGCCTGTAATCCCAGCTACTCGGGAGACTGAGGCAGGAGAATCGCTTGAACCCGGGAGGCAGAGGTTGCAGTGAGCCAAGATCGTGCCACTGCACTCCAGCCTGGGCAACGAGAACAAAACTCCGTCTCAAAAATAACTAAATAACTACAGTGGGCAGAATAATGACACCCCAAAGATGTCCGTGTCCTAATCCTCAGAACCTGTGGGTATGTTACCTTCCATGGCAAAGGGGAAGTAAGGTTATAGATAAGCTGTTAATCACCTGGCCTTAATAGGAAGATTATCCCAGATTATGTGGGTGGGCCCAATGTAATCACAAGGGTGATTTCATTGTGATTATACTGGGCCTACCCAGATAATTTGGTGATTTCTTCCAAAAGGAAGAGGACCTTAAAAGTGGAAGGAGGCCAGTCATGGTGGCTCACACTTACAATCCCAGCAATTTGGAAGGCCAAGGCAGGTGGATCACTTGAGCCCAAGAGTTTGAGACCAGCCTGAGCAACATGGTGCAACCCCATCTCTACAAAAAATAAAATTAAAAAAAATTAGTTGGGGATGGTGGTGCACACCTGTAATCCAAGCTACTTGGGAAGCTGAGGTGGGAGGATTGCTTGAGCCCAGGATGTAGAGGCTGCAATAAGCAGAGATTGCACCACTGCACTCCAGCCTGGGTGACAGAGTAAGACTTTGTCTCGGGGGGGAAAAAAAAAAGTGAAAGAGGAAGGCAGAATTGGAGAATCAGAGGGAGATGTGAGAAAGACTCAACCTGCCACTGCTGGTTGGCCAAGCGATTCTTCCTGTAATTGAGGGAGCCAGGAGAGAGAATGAGTCCAGGAATGTGGGTGGCCTTCAGAAGCTGGAAAAGGTGAGAAACAGATTCTCCCCTAGAGCTTCCAGAAAGGAATGCAACCCTGCTGACCCCTTGACACCTTGATTTCAGTCCCATGACACTTGTGTTGTTACTGAAACACCAGAGGTCTGGTCTAGGTCCTGCAACTTGATGCACAGAAAGCCAATCACTGAGACAAGTGTTGTCAGGGAAGGATTTAATCGGGTGCTGCAGCCCAGGAGATGGGAGATCAGTCTCAAAAATGGGGGTTTATGGAATGGAAGAAATGTAACCATGTGTGGGAAGACAGGAATTAGGGAGGAGTAAGGCAGGAGTTGGTCGACAGGAAGCAGGTGATCAAACAGGCAGTAGTAGTAACAGGTGAGGGGTCCAGACTCCCATGGTCCAGATGCAGTGATCTGGTAAGTTTCAGCTCCTTAATACTATTTGGGAGAGCTTATGGTGGATTTTCCCATTAGCTTTTCCTCGGATAAGACAAATGAAGAAAGGACCTCGGATAAGACAAATGAACGTTCTCAAGTTTCAAGACCAGGAGGGTCAATTTCTATTTTTATTCAAAGGAATGATAAACATCAGTTCTATGGGCCAGTTGGGCCAGTTTCAGTGTCAACTTCCAACCTATAGAACCGAAGATAACAAATGTGTATTGTTCGAAGCCACTGAATTTGCAGTGATAGAAAGCTAATACAATCTCAAAGCTTCATATCTTACCTGTCTCTTGCAACATCTTGTAGCTGATGTTTGTATAGGGGAAATGTGTGACCAGTTTCCAGCTGTTTCCACTTTCCAGCATGTGCTCTTAATGCATTTTCATAGTGTCTTCCACGTCTAGACTTTGTTTTTACCTAGTGTTGTGCAAGTCCCAAAAAAGTACAGCAAGTGTCTAAAACTGTACAGAAGAAAGCCACGTGAGTATGTGAGAAAAACAAATATGGAAGAGAAGATATTACTGCACACAAAGCAACTTTGATTACCAAGAGATGTTTTAAGCATCTGACATTCTAGCATGATAGTTTTATTGCGTTTCCATTGTCTTTGTAGGAAATTAAGGGATTTGACTGAGGTGTATCATGAATTCTATTAGCATTTTCACACAGCACATTTTCATTTTTACAGGTTACTTATATTAAGCAGGAGATGCCTGTACATAATGAAAATACATAGCTTGCTTTATTTATTTTTATTTTTTATTTTTTTGAGATGGAGTCTTGCTCCGTTGCCCAAGCTGGAGTGCAGTGGCATGCTCTCAGCTCACTGCAACCTCTGCCTCGCAGGTTCAAGTAATTCTCCCACTTCAGCCTCTCGAGTAGCTGGAATTACAGGCGTGAGCCACCACGTCGAGCTGATTATTGCATTTTTAGTAGAGACAGTGTTTCACCATTTTGGCCAGGCTGGTCTCGAATTCCTGACCTCAGATGATGTGCCCCCCCTCACCCTCCCAAAGTGCTGGGATTACAGGTGTGAGCCACCACGAACAGTCAATAATACATAGCTTTAAATGTGACATTTTTAAGTAAGTTTTGTTGCATAACGTTTGTTTCACAGCCCTAGAAAAAGTTTGTGTGTGTGTGTGTGATATATAAGATTCTTTTAGCTCCTTTCAGAAGTTACTGCAATTTTAGGCTTAATGCCAGTTGCCCTCACACGAGGTCTGGGATTCTGTGGCAGTGGTCCTAATTCACTGGTTATGAAGAGACAGGCAGGTGGTAAGATGTAGTCGAGTCATTCATTTGACATGTATTTTCCAGCTGCACTTAAACGTCTTATACCCAAGTAAGAACCATTTCTCTTCTGCCCACCCATGGAACTGGTACCTTAAAATACTATCAGCAATATTTTATTCATTTGTCATAAAATCAAATGTCATTCCAAAAAAACTAAATCTGGCCATCTAATTTAAATCTATGTAGTTTAAAGTTATGTTCTTGAAATTTGCCATGTTAGTTGAAATGAGCAGCAAGTACTAATCTAGCAAACTAAATAAACCCTTAATTGTATCAAAGTTCTTTTGTACAACTTCATATTTCTATTTAAAAAGTTTACAGAGGCCGGATGTGGTGGCTCACAACTGTAATCCCAGCACTTTGGGAGGCTGAGGCGGGCGGATCACGAGATCGGGAGATCGAGATCATCCTGGCTAACATGATGAAACCCTGCTATTAAAAATACAAAAAAATTAGCCAGGCGTGGTGGCACATGCCTGTAGTCCCAGCTACTTGGGAGGCTGAGGCAGGAGAATCACTTGAACCCAGGAGGCAGAGGTTGCAGTGAGCTGAGATTGTGCCACTGCACTCCAGCCTGGGCAACAGAGCGAGTCTCAGTCTCAAAAAAAAAAAAAAAGTTTATAGATACAAAAGCATATCATAATTTAGCTTTAGTGTTTTCACACAGAGATTTTCTTACTCTAAAATTGTACTTTAATTCTGGTAAATCTTAATGACTCCATGTTGTCAGAAATAGGCATAAGAAATGAGGTTCATGAATATTTCATTTGCGTCAGCAGCCTTAGTTAACATACACGGCAGTGTTTCATGTACTACTTTGTGGAGGCAACCTGTAGCCGACCAGACTGTGCTACTCTAAATATGCTTTTTTGGCACAATGATG